ATCTTGTTCCTTCACGAATGCCCTAGCATTTACTAGATAGGGTAGCCTGGTATATGTAAGACGGTGACAACGTGACAGGGTAATGTAAGGTGTGTGTAGATAGTGAGAAGTATCTACACAGAATAGTCAGAAGTATTATTGACGTTCGTTGATATAGCGTTTGTTTTAGCGCGATTGTTGAAAATAAGTGTATCGTAAAGTTGTATTCGGAAAGAATAAACCCGTTTTATTAAGTAAGGACTTGTGTCGCTTAAGTTTCGTCGGAACGAAGTTACGGAAAGTTAATTAACAAACAGAGACGTAACAATATAATGAATCAACAAAGATGACACAACCGAAGGCTCTCCTGAAACTATTACAAAGGACAATTAAGAAATATGTATTTTAGCGCAACTACTCTTCAAGTAACGAAAAACATGCTGAATTCAGTGCTTGTTTGTAAAGTTATTACCTAGCTAACCTAACCTAACCAGGGAACATGAATAACAAATGAATATAATATAGATTTAAGATAACACTTTGTATATTCAATCAACTTGTCCATGGCCATCCGCGTGTAATACTCAATTTGAAATCCCTGTCTCTTTTCCTCTCTTTTTGCAGGCCCGGCATGGCCAGGTAATTAGGGCGCTCGACTCGCAATCTGAGGGGATTACGGGTTCGAATCCCCGTCCTACCAAACATGGTCACCCTTTCAGCAGTGGGAGCGTTATAATGTGACGGAGAGACCAAGAGTTGGCGGTGGGTGGTGATGACTAGCTGCCTTCCCTCTAGTCTTTCACTGCTAAATTAGGGACGGTTTTGCGTGTAGCTTTGTGCGAAATTCAAACAAACAAACAAGCTCTTTTTGCAGTCCTCTGGTGGGACAGTGGTAAGTCTAAGGGCTTGCAACACTAAAATTTGGGATTCGATTCCCCGCGGTGGACACAGCAGAAATTTCAGTGTGGCTTTCCTCCAAAACAAACAAACAAACTCTTTGTGCAATCTGCAAACATATATACTTAAAACTGTCCCCCTCCTCCCATTTGGTTTAATTAAATTACAGGACTTTTCCTCAAGACATTTTCCTGATGCACAATTATAAAAACATACAAGATAAAAATCGTACTTTCGAAGAAATAGATACCTGTGATGTTCAAATGTATTGATAAAGCAAGAGAAACCATGATTTCAGCAGGGAAATTTGGTTTTTCCTCGATTAGCTACCAGTCGCACTGTGGAAGTACATAGTGAAAAAGCAAACAGTTTATTACTTCCAGAATACACTGGCCAATTACAACTTGTAGACGCCTTCCTTGGAACTGTGAATGAGATAATTTATAAGGAAATAGGTATACAAAAGCGACCAAAGTGAAATATTCACAAGCGTTTCCTAAAGCACTCTGCCATATGGCAAACGGTAGTTTTAGTCACATTGAATGAACCATATAATGTATAGTGTCTGCAAAAGTCCGACCAATTTATTTTGTTTTACTAGTGATACAAATTTTGATAAAGGGAGAAAAACATGTTCCTAAAGTTTTTCCAAGCAGTTTATGACGGTTGTATGTTACGACTATAATGTGAAGTTAAATATCGGGAAACTCGAGAAAATGACAAGATGGGCTCTACAAACTATCATGCTAAATTGTTGGTACCACTATACCATGAGGAAATGCTATCTTTCTTTGGGTTGGATACCACAATAACATCAAACAAAGCATCCAGTTACACATTATCTTAGTTCCTCGACAAGATGTAGGTGAGTGCACAATGGAAATTGGGCTGCAGAGCAACATCCCATAACCAGAGCTACCATATAGAAAACTAACGATGACAGAAAAAGGTCTAGGTATTCATACTTATATTGACACTATATCTTGTTTTTCTTTTTCGTTTTGTATTTATGGTAAAGCTATGAAGGCTGTCTGATTGTATTGCTACTATGGGTCCTGATCATCCCTTTCTATTTTACATCCACCAGCCAAAATTTACATATTTGAAATATTTATTCTAAACTAAGGTTGAAACAAAGATACTACACCTTTTTTTTTATTTTGTCTCCACACAAAGTACTCTTGTTAAAACTTAAAAAATAATCCTTGAATTATGATATATAATTATATAAACAAAGGTAGAAGCAACAGATAGCTCTAACTATTCACCATAAACTTCAATTATTCAATCAATGCATATAAAATTATGGTAATAAAATATACAGGAAGAACAAAACAAAAATCAAAATGACACTTAAAAATCTGGTGTACTGTTACCCCAATTGTATATAATTACTCGTCATTGATTATTTTATATATTGCTATAAAAACCTAATTCAAGAAAAAGCATAACACAAACCTGTTTGGTACCGGGCGTGGGTTGTAGTTAGAGCGCCCGGACTGTGAATTAAAAGGTTCATTGTTCGTGTATCGTGCTGCAAAAATCGCTCTTCGCACTTTGATGCCGTGGTTACTCTATAAGAGTTAAATCCCATTATTCGGTCTGACTTCAGCAACCCAAGGGTTGGCGGTGGGCGCTGTTGACTAGCTGCCTTCCGCCTAGCTTCTTAGTTCAAAATTATGGACGGCCATGCGCAGATAATCCTTTTGTAGCTTTGGGCCTGCTTCATTGTATGGACGGCCATGCGCAGATGATCCTTTTGTAGCTTTGGGCCTGCTTCATTGAAGAATAGATTTTTCTCCAAGTGAATCTAGTGTTTTGTTAACCAAACTTGATTTCTCTTTCCGTATTAATTACTTAAAAATCAAATTTTGATTAATCTTTTCATATATATCCGTAACAAACAAGGCAAGTAGCATTAATCTCTAGCCATTTTGTAGCCAACATATATTTGGGTTAAATTTCCTTATGAAAAAGTTTAGAAATTAGGAGATTGTTGATAAGTTGTTAAGCATAAAGCTATACAATGGGCTATTTGTGCTGTGCCCACCACGGATATCGAAACCCGTTTTCTTTTTTTTGCGTTTCAGCCTACAAATTTACCTCTGAGCCACTCGAGACAAATTAGGAGGTCAATTCCTGTTTAACTTAGAAACAACAGCAAAATAAACGTCAACTAAAATTAGCCTTCTTTCTCAGGAAAGAGTTTTAACTAAAAGTAGCGCATCTCGACTAAAGGAATCAGGATGTTGTTGTCCTTTACTTTTTTCTTGATCGTGTAGCGAGGGTGACAGACGATTTTTTCATCTTAGAACGTATTTATATAATCTTCTATTTTTAATATGTTCTACTGACCTTGTTTGATATATTACTTTAATCAGTATGCTCAGTAACCCATAAAACAGGTTAAAAGTAAAGTCAATTAACTTGAGCCCATATTTTATTTATGAAATCTAAGTTACTACAAATTCAAGATTAATACTTTCGTATTATTAAAAAAAAAAAAATCCAGAAAATGCACGTCTGGAGTCATTAGATCGTTCGTCTTACAATTTATGGCAGGTAGTTTTACTTTGTAGAATTGCTGAATTAGCAATTGCTCTCAGCATTGCTTTAATAAATAACTCTCATTAAATATGACTACACAATTATAAGGAGGCAATTAAGTGTGAAAGTAACTTCTAATACTTCTAATTACAGATACGCTATGTATAGTTTTGGCTGACTGTGATTGGTGAAACCTGTTGTGACAGCGGGAAGTGACGCATGGTATTTTCTCTCAGTGAATACAGCAAGGTGGTTGAGCGGCAAGTGTTATGATTAAACAGGCTGGAGGTAGTGAAGAATGGTTGTGTAACAGCTGATATCGTCTATACAAGATCATTCAGTAATCTTATGGTTATAGATAACCGTTAATATATTTGGATTATTAGGCGAAAAATTAGAAGTGATAGATTGAAACTTATATGCTCACCATGGGTGAAGAAGGAAGGAATGACCAAAATGCTCTTGGTTATGAGCATACTTTGGTAAGTTGATTTACATTAGTCTTTTCCGTAACTTGGCTGGTACTTTGAAAGTTAACTTTTACATGTACCGTGCCAGGAGTAATCGAAGTTAGAATACTAGATGTCATATATAATAACAGTAATGCAATTATGCAATTTATATGAGTTTTACTTGAGGTCAGTATATGCTAACAAACAAAGAATCATTTTCTTTGATCACAGATCCGAAAGATTATTTGGCAACCTAGCGTGAATATAATAAAACCAAAATTTTTACGTAAATATTAATACTAAGAGGACAAAATTGTTTTTAATTTAAGAGCTGAGGATCCCAGTAGATCATTATACTGAACATTGTGATGAGCTTGATAATGATAATGTGTTTTTAAGCAATTAAATCTGCGATGTTTCAGCCGTAGGAATAGACCATTTTAAGGCAATGTATTTTGTAATTGTGAAGATGCACTTATCATATGGGCTGAAATATGACAGTATTAGTTGCTTAAAATGTTTGCAATGTAAAGATAATTACAATATTCAATTTAAGGAAAGGTTTATTCCAAGGGTTAATGAGGAATTAATTTGTCCACCTAGGCTAACCCATAATGTACTACAACCTGCCCCAAACTGCATATAGAAACCCATTTTGCCCTATCTAAATCTGACCTCTAAAATGCTCATTCGATTTCATGTAACATTCCTTCAACATTGCACCTTCTACCTTTCTTGTAGACACTAATTTATATGCCATCCAGTCTATTATAAAAGTACTACTGCCTTAATTGGTGTTGTATCTGAGTTTTCCACATCTTAAACTTGTGTTCTCTAGCTTTACTGCCTATAAAATTATTTTTTTTTTTATGTAAATGCTATCTGGAGTTATGTATTCTAATCCTTTAAGAATCATAAAAACAATAGTCTTATCCCCTCGAAGACCTTATCCTCACAAATGAAAACATGCAGAGATTTCATTATATTCTTTATGATAACCTCTTTAAACCTGGAAATCTTCCTGGTAGTATCTCTGTGAACTTTCTTCAACAACTCAATATCCTTTCATAAATATATTTAAGGTGATCAAAACTGAGAACAGTATTTAAAATGAGGAGTAACCATCATTTTATAGATTGAAATAATAGTTGTTTTTGACTTGTACCCAATATTTAAATTGATTAATTAAATATAGAATAAAATGTTGTTTCAAACTTTGCTTTTAACTATTCCTGTTTTTAGACACTTTTTTTTTCTATACATTATCAGGTTACAGTGAATTTTTGAAATAAGTATATGTGTATATAGTACTGTACAAACAATTATAATATTTATGCTGTGATAGACCTTATATTGAATTATAAATATTATTAGATCATTTCAAGTAAACTGTATAAAGGTTAAGTTTTGTATCTTTTTATATGTAACATAACTTAAAATGATTTATTTCTTTAGAAAAGTCAAAAAATTACCTTGTTCACTTGAATTTAAAACCTGTTGTGTTTTTCTGCTGAAGGCAAACTATTTCAAGGTCTATTCTTTTTAAAACAGTTTGAATATTAGATAAGTTAGTTTATCCAGCACTTTAGTTCAGGATTAAGAATTGTTTGTCACCTTTCATTCTGTTATCATAGAGATCAAACATTTTTACAGCAGAGTGAATTTGTTCTTCTAAAATAGTTTTGAAAAATAAAACCAAATATGAACATGATAGTATGAAGCATTTATTAAATGTTTGGGAATCTTCAGAATTCCATTGTAAGTAATTTAGAGGTACAAAACAAACAGTTGTAATTACAACAGAAATATGGTATAGTTTATGTATTACAAATTATATCAAATATTACATATTATTACATTCATGTTTTGCTTTATTATTAAGTTACATTTGCTGAAAAATGAATTGATTATTTGTTAAGAAGAATGGAAAACATGTCATGAAGTTACAGAAATTTTTCTCCTTCACTCTTCATATATGATTATAACATTTTTATATAATCAGTTACTCGTATAAATATTTTGGCGTGGTAACTACCAAGCTCTAAATAATATGATTAAAGTAATAAACATGAAAAGCATAAATAATTATGTGGTTAGAACAGGCAAATTAGCATATGTTTGAGTGAAGCTGAAAGTTTAAACAAATTTTTATTCATTAGTCTATAATTATTTTTCTGTCAGTTCTTATACACTTGTATATTAGATGTATAACAGCATGGTATGAATGTGTGTAGAAAAGTTTAAGTCATTGAGAAATAATTGCCTTTAAATATTGATTGGCAGTAAAAATACATATATATTTGGGTACATTGTAAAACATGTCATATTGATCAACTGTAAATAACTGGTTGTATAGTTTTTTGTTTTTTTAATATATAAACTCCTATTCTTTTCCAAGTTACATAAGCATATTATGTTGAAAAAAGTTTTTAATTAAAAAGTACACCAAGCTTTCTAACGCCAGTTGTGGGTGTACTTATGAAAATTAGGGTCATGTTGTGACACACTAATATTTCTCATTATTTTTGGGTGTGTGTAAGAAACTACACTCATTCTACTGCATGCATTCCTGTACTTGTATGTGTATACTTGACCTTCTATATAATATGTACAATTTCTGATACTTAATACAAGAGTTATGTTTCATTCATAGAAGTCAGTGATGGACTGTGATTACTTTTTTTTCAGTTAGTACACGGTACTACAGTGCTTCTCATGATACATCCATGCATATAAAAAGTTTTTTTTTAAGTACAGAAAGCTGTGGTTGTTTACAAGATTCCTATAAACCCTTGGGTTGTATCACATATACTCTGTATTTTGCTTTCATGTTTAAATGCATATCTTTGTCTTTAGCATATATACTCTTTGGGTGTTAACTTGAAAAAGTGACCTTTTTTTTTCTACTGGTATTCCATGACAGTGTAAAACTTATCTATCTAGGCATTAAAGCACATGTGGCATGCTGATACTTGCAACTCATGCCCTAGAAGAGGTTTCTTTATTTAAAGTCATTTAGTGATTGTGAAGGGACAGTGAAGGCTGTTTCTATGCTATTACCATAAACATTCAATATGCAAGTTGCACATTGTTACCATGATATACATGTATTTCCATACTCAGCATTATTTAATAGTTATGCTTTATAGAACTATGGACTTCATACTAAAAAATAACAATACAGTCATATATATCTAATTTAATAAATTTAAACATATACATGTATACTATAGAAATGTGTTCAGTTTCACATAAAGTATTTCTTTTCATCTGCTTCAACTTTCAGTCAAGGTATTACTGTTGCACTGCCTTAACTTTTGTCAACTAATAACACAACACACACATCACAAAGCAAACCATGTTATTGTTATGAACTGTGCATTAATTTTAGTGCTACAGTATTACTTCAGAAATACGTTTAATATATGTGTAGTCAAACTGTAGTAAATAGTAGCTCGGGAATTAGTTGCTTCAACTTATATAACATTTAAGGTCAGCAAGCCTATTGGTCCATCAAGACTATTTCATTTAGTAATTTAAACTTTAAAAGAAACCCCTCAAAGCCAGTCTTTATGATATAAACATTTATCAAGCCTTCCTTTAAATTTACTGCATTCACTACATCTGAAGGCATCCATCCCAAAGAACAACTCCCATGTTGTAAAAATAAAACTATTTGTGTTCCTAGTCTTACTATTTTCACCATTAAGCACAAAAAAATGATTCATTGACACTATCAACTCCATTAACAATCTTAAACATCTCAGTCATATTTCTTCTAACTTATTTTTTTCAAAAGAAGATAATTTCAGAGATCTTAACCTGTCTTCATATGATAGTCTTTCCATTCCAGGTACTATACTAGTAGCCCTCCTCTGAACCCTTTCTACTAAGCTAATATTCTTTCTTAGATAAGGAGACCAAAATTGTATACATAATCCCAAGTGTAACTAAGTAGTGATTGTATAGAGATAATTACATCTTTTGACTTGAACTGAGCATTTCTGTAAATGCATCATAAAATTATTTTAGCTTTACTACTGACAAAATAACACTGCTTCAATGGCTTAAGTGACTTATCCACTACTATGTCAAGATCTGTTTCCTCAATCACACTATTAAGTGGGTTTCCATCTATATTAAACACGTGATCCAAACTTTGTTAACCCAAATACATCACCTGACATTTAGTATAATCAAAGTTGTTTACCAAGTCATTCTGTGATACCTCAACATCCTTAGTACAATGTGATATATACATATGAGTTTAATGTCATCAGCAAATGTTTACTCATTTACTGATTATGTTGCTATCAGTATTACTAATGTAAACATGGAAAAGCAGAGGTTGAGGCACTAACAACAAAAGTCCTGCTTGACTGTACTCCATGAATAGCAACTCTTCTTTCTCCCAATCAACAACCTCACAATTCAATAAACTAATCTTTCCTTTACCCCTGCTGATGTGATTTTCATAGCTAATCTTTTGTGTGGCACTTAATCAGAAAACTTCTATTCTGCAGATAACAAATAATATCCTCAGAAAAAATAAAAGATTAGTAAGATAAGATCTTCCTGTAGTGAAAGTGTTTTTGCTTTTATTTATATCAGATTTCACTAAGTGATTTAAAATTTGTTCCCTACTACAGAAGTAAGACTAAATGGCTTATAGTTTCAAGAGCAACTCTTATCACTCTCTTTAAAAATGTGAATAACATTAGCAACTCTTCAATCCATGGGCAGCTATTCACTATTTTTTGACCTTCCAAAAATGAAATATAGAGGCTCTCATATCTGATTATTAACCTCTTTTAAACTCCTAGAAAAAACCTTGTCTGGTCGTGGTGTTTTATCGTGTTTAATCTTTCAACCAAAAAATTAATATTTATATGATTCAGGTCAATTATAATTTTCTCCATAGAATGCTAGGGGTTAAGAATATTGCTAATATATTCTTTTTTAAAAACAGAAGAGACCTTTCAAAAGCACAGTCACCTTATAGTCTTCAATAAATACCTTGCCATCAGTATTCTTTAAGGACACAGTAACTATTTTAACGCTTTGTTTAACTATAATATATATTTTTAAAAAATTCTTGCTGTTAGGTTTGATATTTATTAGCCACCTGTGTTCCATAAACTTTTTTTTTACTTAAATTCAATAAGCAAATCTCTAGCTTTTCTCTATTTCTGTAAATCTTCCAGCTTATTCATCAATTTAAACTTCTTAAATTACCTGTGTTACTTCCACCAAGCTACTGCTTTTGAACTATGCCTTGATTTTCACACAGGGTATAGTATTACTTTATAAATACCCTAAACATTCATACAAGGTCAAGATATTGTGACTAATGGTTTAAGAATCATGTTAAGATACCAGTTTGAGAGACAAATTAATTTGTTATTGACTAAAAATAGTATAACCCATGGTCAAACTGCATTATACTTTATTTGTTTCATGTATGTCATCAACATATTTCAAATGAAGCTTAAAATGTTATTTTTATTTTGAAATAACACAAAAGATCATGTTGATGAGATTCAGCACTCATCTCACTGTAATCAGAATGTAGCTATTTGCTTCTCTGAAGTCTGCATCTAAGTTTTCAAGTCATAGACTCGTTGCCCCAAATATAAATGATCCCATTTTTATTCTCATCTTTGATCTACTGAAACTTGCATTACATAGGCCCTCTCAGCAGTTTTCAAAAAATGAAATCAGATTTATTCTTTCATAAAATGTACATAATTTTCACAAAATATATGCTTTGATTTTGCTTTCACAAAACATTTTAGAGTAAATTTTAAAAGAAAATTCAGCCTTTTTTTAACCTCTCTTTTTTCTTATTCTTCTATGAAATAATGTTATTTAGTCACAAAATGGGGCCCATGCAAACACCTTAATTGAACCCTGATTTTTAAAAAAATTTCATTCTTATAATAAAGAGAATCATAGATTCACCAGAGTTTAAAGTTAAAAATCTTCATCAAAAGATTATGGAACTATGTTTACTAAATACATCAAGAAATGCACATGTATATAAATATTTCAATCTTTTGTCAGTAAGTATAATTATTTTTTTCATGATACCATTGCTCCTATCATACAAGAAGTAACTTGTTACCAAATTTTATCATCCAGTTTCATCACTGTACATTTTTTAATGGTCAGACTTTCTTTGCATCTTCTGAAGATCAGTGAATTTAGGAATATTGCTCTATAATTAGCAGGAATAGCTGCTAAAGAACAAAAACATACTAGTTATGAATTCTTCCAATCAGGAAAATGTCCATTTTCCAACATCTTTTGCTTTCTAATACCACACCATACCAGTAGTTTCCACTTCATGATTTTAATAAACTGTGTGGCACATCATGAAAAATCTTACAAAAGTTGTGTATGAGGTGCATCCTTCTCAGAAGACCTTGATGTGAGGTACACTAAATATTAATTATTTGATAATAACTTTCAAAGTGCTTTCCTGGATTAATAAAACATCAGTTTCATAAACTGTGTTTGTAAATATATGCAATCTAGGCAACAAATATTTGTATGTCACAGTCATAATAGTTACTTTTTAGAACACTTAAAATAATCGGTAAGTAATGTAGTGTCTCTGAGTAAATTTGGATAAATACATAGCTACATAACAATGTAGTCACATGTATGCATATCATGATTATTTCAATTGTTTTTTATTAAAGAAAACTAAATTATTTATACAATTATAGTAAATTAACATTAGTGATTTCACTACTTGTAGAAGAAAAACAGTGTTCTACAAAGTTATAACTTAATTGAAAGTTCTTGTGTTTTTTTTAAAGTTTTGTATATTATAAATGTACTGCATTTTCAGAATAATGTATTATTTTGACAGCTTATTTTCTATTTAAATTTATTATAAATAAAGTGAATTTTCAAAATAATCTATAATTTTGACAGGTTATTTTTCATATTTTTACAATTTTAATTTATTGTGAAGAAACTGCAAATTTCTCTGATTTTGCCTGGTTTAGAACCAGTTATGTATTTCAAAGTAATTATTCCTGTCCAGGATAATTTTGAACTTTTGATTCTAGATATATAAAGATACATGCAGGAAAAAAAACTTGTAAGAGAAGTTTTATTTCCCACTTTTCTTTTGAGGCTGACCTTTTATTGCTAAAAATTGATACTCTTAGCTGGCAGAGTACAGATAGCCCATTATGTAGCTTTGTGCTTATTAAGAAACAAACTCTTCTTACAGATATACTGATTTCATCATGTAAGTACAATAATTCTTTTCTTCCAGTAATTATAATATTATCTACCTAAGAAGTTTAATTTTTAGTAGCATTAAGTATATGTATATGTTAATATTGTGGGAAGATTGACATGTGTATGTTAAATGCAGTTTTGGTTATAAGTTTTATTTTACCAAGGATTATTCTAGACCAGTGGTGTAAGTTTGACATTTCAGGCTATCTCACAAATATTTCTCATCTCTGTATTTTAGATGTTTGGCTGCTATAGGGAAGATCTAGGAGAATTTGCCAAACTTGAAGCTAGACGTCTAAAATCTTTAGAAAAGCTTAGTAGAAAACAAGATAAACTTAGACAACACGAACTTAAACCCTATCGCCGTCAATGGCAAAGAAAATGCATTGGTAGGTTTGTTTCACCATATTGCACAATTACCTGTAATAATTACTGCCAAAATTGTTTGAAATGATGAGTTAATTTGCTTGTGTACATATAATAAACATAGATCCATTTACAAAAGCAACTGTGGGAATGTATTTTAATTTCATTTGAATATCTGTTAAAAGGTATATGTATTTTGGAAAGGGTAAATGAATATATGTACTGACAATCAAGTAGATTGATGTAGATGGTTTTTAGCTCACACAAGCAAACACAGTATATGACATTAATGCTATTGCAATCACGTCTTTTTTTTTTGTAAATATTCAATGTTTTCAGAAAATCAAGAGAGATTTAATAAATAATTTTTTGTCTGTGAATTTGTCTAGCAAACATTGAAAAAAAATCTAAGGTATCTGCACACTAAATTTATTAAACAAACTCTAAAAAATCTAAGGTATCTGCACACTAAATTTATTAAACAAACTCTAAAAAATCTAAGGTATCTGCACACTCACTTTATTAAACAAACTTAAAAACCTACGGCATCTACACACTTAATTTATTAAACAAACTCTAAAAAACCTAAGGCATCTACACACTTAATTTATTAAACAAACTCTAAAAAACCTAAGGTATCTGCACACTCAATTTATTAAACAAACTTAAAAACCTACGGCATCTACACACTTAATTTATTAAACAATCTCTAAAAAAGTCTAAGGTATCTGCACACTTTATTTATTAAACAATCTCTAAAAAGTGTAAGGTAACTGCATACTTAATTTATTAAACAAACTCTTCCAAAATGTTAATTGGATAAAAATGTTACAGATGTATTTGAGAAACAAACCATTCTTTTATTGCCTTGAATGTAGTATTACATCTTTCTTGTGTAAACTAGTAAATCAAATAAAGTGAGGTGATAAGACCCATAAATATGCTTATATGTGGGCTGAGAGAGAATTGCAAAATACCAGTTTTATAATGTTTAGATTTGATCTTTCAGTAAACATAAATTATTTGGAAATTACATTATATGAATCACTCAAAGCTTTTGCATAATTATATTTTACGTGTAGTATGTGTTCTTTGTTATTTTCTAGGCAAAAGCAGTTAAAGATAGCTAAAAATACTTAATGTCTTAGTACTTTTACTCAATTCTGTAATCTTTTTCACCAGCAATTAACTAGATCCATTTCTGCAAGTACAAATAGATTACACAATGAAAACGGCAAACAGGGTTGGGCTTTAACAGTGCACTGGAGTTTCCTGTCATATACTGGTACTGCATGCATGATCATTCAGATTTCTAGGAAACTGACATTTGTTGATTTTAATGGGTTTCAGTTTGAAGCACAGACTGTTTTTTTTGTTTTTTTCACATTTGATGCAAGTTTTTTTTGACACCATTTAACTTTTTTTTGTAAATTTAATAAGTGAACCAAATATACAGCTTATACCTATTATTTATTTAACAAAATACATTATTTTAATATACTAGTTTGCTTATACATTCACACTTACAACTTTTAGATGATGGTATTTTTGTGGTTCATAAGGTTTACAACATGTAGGTGGTGATGTGGTTCTTTAAGAAAGAATAATTGAAACTGCCCAGAAAAGATGCTAACTTTAGTGCATGCATTAGCTATGTGTTTAAAACTTTTACAAGAGAAGCAACAAAAGTGTGTGGCAGTTTATTGGTGAGTAAATACCAAATGGCCCACCAAGGTAACCTTGTTCTGAGAACTAACTCACCAGACCATGTTAGTCTTGAAACAAGTTTCTTAAACTATGAATCATGTTGTAGATAAATTACTCCTATTGTCTCCACCTTCCTTAATCCCTCGCATAAATCAGTGACCTTGTTGAAAATGGTCAAAAAGCACTCAGTGCTGTGAAATACAAATTTTTCTGCTGATGTTAGGCAGTAGTTTGTAATACTTTAAAAGATGGGGAGACAAGTGACAGTTGAGAGAAAGTAGTAGTAGATCTGTATGAATATACGTTAACCATGAATTGATTTTTGTTTTGATTGTATATTGTAATGTGTGATAAATTACTAATCTTCTGCTTGCGTATTCCGAGATACGTGTAACTGTGCATACTAAAACATGATGAGACATCCTAAGTCAGTTTTAGGTTCCCCTCTCTTGTGCTGTATCATCATGTTTACTGTTCTGTATAATCATAGCTAAGTACAATGTACCACAATTTTATGGTAGATTGCTTGCACAAGTTGGTTTTATCACGATTAGTCCCGCTTCTAACCAGTTAAAACTAGTGAAATTTAGATTATATTTCCCACTGTTTCAATACATTATTTGTTTGTCAGCAATAAAGTAATTTAAAAGGACTCAGAGAAGTTCTTAACTGATTGTGATCATCTTCATGGATACTAGATTTTTAGTTGAGAGTGTCACTGAATATTGACACCAGAGGGAAATTCATTGTTAATTAATTAATTAATTAATTATTCACATATTTTACTGTTCATGTAGTGTTAAGAATGTACATAAATTAACAGATTCAGTTTGCAAAACTACATGTATTCATATTTATTGTTACAGTCAAGAGTCTGATTACCCATATTATATCATAAAATTTGAAGGAATAAAAGTGCACACAAGTGTCTCTTCAGTATAGTAACATATGCTTTTTTTTGTAAACAAGTAACTTGATGGTTTTATTTATGACAAAAGCTATGACTAAATCTGAGTACAAATGAATTTTAAAATTTACATATCAATAATGAAAGTCGATGTTAAAATTGTGCATGCATGTTTTATATGTATAATATATCTATCTATATATTGTGAAAATACAGATGAAATAATAAGAACATATTTTAGAGTTACAAAATAAATGTTTAATACCTTATTTACTGTAAATGTCCAAGTTGGACTCTTCAGAAAATAATAATACTTGTAAACATGGCATCATGGATGGAGTTGCAAATAATAAAAATAAAGCAAAAGAGAACAATTAATACAATTAATAGTGAAAAATTAAAAGGGACAAAAACATATACAGACTTAAATTTTTTAACAATTTTGTGTTGGCTGGAATAATTTTATCAGGTATTTTTATTTTGATTTTGACTCTATTTTACTATTTTAAAACATTTTGTAAAATGGATAAATTAGAAATTGACCATTGTAACAAGTGTCTAAATGCTCACTGATGGAATATTGCATGTTTATGGATCCTAAATTTATTGTTGAACTTGCACTTCCTTGCACAGTTTCCTTCCAGTTTAACCATTGTAATTTCTGTGGAAGTTGGAAAATGTCGTACAATAAATAAGATTTTTCAGATTTATAGTTCAATTACCATTAAGTTTTACAGGCTTTCCTGATTTAAAGGTGATTTCTTTTCTGACTTGTAGGTATTCACATGTGATGCATCATTTCTTACTGCAAATGTTCTTCATTATATCTTCCTTTCTTCTAATAAACTTTGCACATGTTAAAAGCTTTTAAAATTATTTTGCTGTTTGCAATTGTGTATCATGTTTACCAAGTTATACCTCAGATTGTAACTTTATTTTAATATTTGTGCAGATTATGTCCCTGAAAGTAGGCTGAAGGCCACCTGAAGGGTCACCTGTTTACTTGTTTTAACCATTTGCACCACTGTACAGTAGTGTGTTATCTGTCAGTCAGTCAGTAGACACTAAAATGACATCACATAAGGAACGCTTAATGTTGCAATTTGTAGTGTCTTGACATCAGTAAAATGTGTGCATGCCATGAATCACAAGAAGAGTTATACACACTGTAGGCTACAACGAAGCATGACATATGAACTTCAAAAGCAAGGAGCAAAATTTTTGTTATTCATAAATTTTGGTTTTATTTATTCTTGAAATGGAACACTTTAGGGGACCCTGCAGAGTACAAATAGTGTTTAGTATAGTGACATTACTTGGACTGTGTATGGTAATAAGAGGGGTCTTCCTTTATTCACTTTCTATGTCTTTATAAAGTATATATAAATATACAGCAGAAGCAGCACATATAAGAGGCTTAGTGAGACTTAGCTTCCCCAAATTAACCATTCCTCATGAGGCATTATTCTATATATATGTGTGTGTAGTTGTTTTTAATGTTCTGTTCATTTGTCCTTGTTACAGAGTACCTATAAACATTGTAATGCTAGCTATAAAATATTTTACTACAATTTCATCTACATCTCAGCAACAGAATATTTAAATTTCATACAGTATGATTTAATTGAAGATTTTATAACACTGTTTTGATATGCATGTTGAATCGAAAGTGTAGACTACATACCATTATGCATCCAAATATAACAAGTAGATGTGGATCATGAGATCAAGCTTATGAACAAAACAAGCAAACTGTAAACTGGTGATCATTAGATCAAGCTTATGAACAAAACAAGCAAACTGGAAATTGGTGATCATTAGATCAAGCTTATGAATAAAACAAGCAAACTGTAAACTGGTAATCATTAGATCAAGCTTATGAACAAAACAAGCAAACTGTAAATTGGTAATTATTAGATCAAGCTTATGAATAAAACAAGCAAACTGTAAATTGGGGATCATTAGATCAAGCTTATGAATAAAACAAGCAAACTGTAAATTGGGGATCATTACTTGCTAACCCTCTGTGCATGGGTTGGGGTCAAAATGTGCTTGCCACAACTTTTTGCAGAATGCCATTCAATATGTATTTGATGCCAGAGTTATCAACTGTTTATTTTACCCTACAATGTTGATTTAGCACCAGTTCATCTTAGAGGAGAGTAAATACAGTATACAGTGTACAAGGATACTGAAAAATAAAACAGTAGAGATTATGCAAGTACAATATACAAACTGTACAATGGCCAAAATATTTTTATTCTTAATATGGACATCACCTTGTACTTTGACTTGTGAGAGTAAAAGTCAGATTTACTTTGTTAATTCACAGATATATCTTGAATACAAATACTTTTGTAACACATCTGATATTTTATGTACTACAAACCTGCTCATTGTACTACAAGCTTGCTTTGTAGAAGCACGTAGTTAATTCTGATTTATAGTCAGTATTCCTTCTCCAATGGACAGATCCTGTGCAAATTTGGTTAATAAAACGAGCAAACTGATGATCATTAGATCACACTTCTGAATAAAACTAGCATATAAGATCATTAGATAAAACTAGTTGTGACAACAACAAAAACATTTCTGGCTATACTTCTTATCCACATTTGTTTAGAAAAACATCAAAAGAACATACATTACAAAATTTGAAGGTAAAAAATTTCTGTTTGTATTTTATCATTTAATTGCATTATCTTACCTTAACAGAGTATCAACTAGATAGAAATCAAAAAGTGAAAACAAAATTGCTGTCATATCCTAACTATGGTCTTGATCTGTACAGTATGTTTGTGGTTTATACTGTACAGATCAAGACCATAGTTAGGATATGTACATATGTTTGTGGCTTATACTGTACATATCCTAACTATGGTCTTGATCTGTACAGTATAAACCACAAACATATGTATATACACATGTCAAAATCCATGTGTGTTCTAGATATAGATGGCTGGCCTTTTTGTTTCAATAAGAAAACACTGTGTAACATGATTAGATAATGAACATAAGTAGCAGTGTATGATTATTAAAGGATGGCATCAAAGAATTTTTATAAACATTATGCACAGACATATAATTTCTTATAATGTGAAAATTACAAACTTGTAAGGAAGTGTGGCAATAAAAAGGTAATTTTTTTTTACATTCCATTTTTTTACTACATGGTGATTCATGGATGATGTACAAATATCTTGTGAATATCTGGTTATGAACTTATGGTTATTTTGCACAAAGAATTTCTTTCCAGTAATACAGTGGGTTTTGTTACTATTCATGTTCAAAAATAATTTACACGTGATTTGTAATGTATGTACACATAACTGTATGTGGAGCTTGCCATATGTTTTTTAAAGACTTATAAACTGTGCTTTTCAGGAAGTACATTGTAATTTACTACTCTTGAGATGTCTTTGGGTGAATGATGCTTATGATGAAAAGAATACATGTATTTATTCAATTAAAATCTTTTTTTTCAATGCCGAGTTTTCAAGATTGTCCGATTTGCAAGGATTAGCCATAGAATTAAAATAATCTTGCTAAATTGGACATTCTCTACAGAAAATTGTAATTTGTTTTACTAGGTATAGATTATGGTTAACTTAAATTTTATACACTTTTCTATGTCATTGAAATACTTACAAACAGTCACATTACAAATAAATGTTTTTAATATATTTTTAGTTAGAAACTACAAGCATTCAAAACATTTTTGGAAAAAAGAGACAAAGTTGCATGAAATACCAATAAGTTAAATAAATTTATCAGTTGATTTATAATGTTTTGTAAAGAAAATGTAATTACTTTATAATTTAAATAGATTAATTTCAAAAAGTATCCTTAACAATCTTCTTGCTGAATACTTGTAATTATCTTCACCATGTTTCTTGCTATTTTTCTGTGGTTATTTGCAGGCTTCTTCTAATTGTAATTTTGATTATCCTTGACTTTTGCATGACTGTGTACCTGTGATTTGTGATTATGTTTAACCTTCATTTGACTGTGTATGTATGATTATCTTGAACATTCTTATGGACATTTTTCTGTGATTATTTGCAGCCTTCTTCTGATTGTACCTTTGATTATACTCAATCTTTGCTTGGCTGTGTACCTGTGATTTGTGATTAGGCTTAACTTCTTGAGGCTGTGATTATCCTTAGTCTTCCTCTGGCTATGAATCTATAATTAACCTCAGCTTTGCTCTGACTGTGTGTGTGTGTGTGTGACTACTGACAACATAATTCTTTTACCTCCTAATTGGTCTATTCGTTAAACTTGTATATGGAAGTAGTTAAAATATTTAACTACATGTGTATTGTAGCTGACACTTTTGATCAATAAATTTTTTCCTTTTAGGTCATTTATCAACAGTGTGGCAGCACACATTTGCCAAACTAGGAGAAGATTGGGTTTTCTTAGCTCTCCTAGGGATCATCTCATCATTACTCAGTTTTGTGATGGATTACGGTATTGCTATATGTCAGAAAGGTAGGAACTACTCTGGTATTTTGTGATGGATTATGGTACAGCTACATGTCAAAGGTAATGACTACCCTGCTGTTTTAAGTATTTAGTGAGCAGCAGTGTCTATTGAATTACTACTGTTTTTTCATTGTTTTAAATATTGTTTATGATATCATTGTGAAGAATGATGTTCTTTTTTTTTTCACAACTTGTTGACCTTTAACTGGTTCCACATAGGTCAAATGGATAATATATAGTTCACTAAAATAATCTCTTGTTATTAAATGTTCTAACATTTTAAATGTTTTTTTCTTTATTCTTACTTACTATCAGCTGATAGAGATGGATTTATGTCAGGAAAATATCTATGTACAAATAAATCTTCTTTAAGAATATATTAGTCGTTATTACCTTTTACTGTGATAAATCTTTAATTTTATTTAAAAAATTCATTCTTGGTGGCTGCCTATATGTCCATGCATCTACGAACTACAAAACCACCACCATGTACATGTTGTAAACATTACGAACTACAAAACCACCACCATCCACATGTTGTAAACATTACTAACTACAACATCACCACCACCATCTGCATGTAAACATTATGAACTACAACATCACCACCACCATCTGCATGTAAACATTATGAACTACAACATCACCACCACCATATACATGTAAACATTATGAACTATAACATCACCACCACCATCTACATGTTGTAAACCTTATGAACTACATCACCACCACCATCTACATGTTGTAAACATTACAAACTACAACATCACCACCACCATCTACATGTAAACATTATGAACTACAACATCACCACCACCATCTACATGTTGTAAACATTATGAACTACAACATCACCACCACCATCTACATGTTGTAAACATTATGAACTACAACATCACCACCACCATCTGCATGTAAACATTATGAACTTCAAGATGCTACAAGATGATTTCTGTGGTTTGTTTTTGTATGTTACAAGATGATTTCTGTTGTCTGCTTTTGTGTGTTACAAGATGATTTCTGTTGTCTGCTTTTGTGTGTTACAAGATGATTTCTGTTGTCTGTTTTTGTGTGTTACAAGATGATTTCTGTGGTCTGTTTTTGTGTGTTACAAGATGATTTCTGTGGTCTGTTTTTGTGTGTTACAAGATGATTTCTGTGGTCTGTTTTTGTGTGTTACAAGATG